ATGCACGATTAGAAAGCGTATCGAAAAAGCAGTGCCGAATTTCTCATTAAACATTTCCAGTAAATTAGTTTTTCTGCTATTTTCTTGTTTTTTTTATTTAGCATTAAACTTTGTATATGAAATCTTGACTTTTTTTCATTCAAATATTTATAATAAATAAAGTTTTGTAAATTATTAAAGTGTTACTTTATGCGCGGCCAGTGAAAGAATTTAAAAATTTAAATTGGCCCGTTGATTAAAAATGTTTCCTGGTCTATGCCATTTACGCAATAATTTAAATTTGCTTTGTGATTCTATTATCCGCCAAGATGGACCGTGCTTGAGATATTCTATTACGCTAATTAGACGAGTTCTAAATGTACAAAGTAGACAATATTTATTAGTTTATGCGATAACATATATCAGATGTAAAGCACAAATTTACAAATAATTTGCATCTCCTGATTTGCCCTCAGTTTGCTGTGTAGTACACGTCTCTTCGGTACAATGTGTTTTGATATGAATACAATAAGGCCCAGACTGTGAAAACGATTTATGGCAGACGTTACAAGAAAACGGTTTTTCCCCTGCAATAGAGTTGTTGTTGTTATTGATATAAGTCAAGCTATCAATATCGAAATATATATAGTACACACCTGTATGAATCCTCATATGAACTTTTAAGGTGTTTTTTTGGAAGAATCCTTTGGAGCATACAGCGCAAACATGATTTCTCTCACCTAAAACAGATTTCAAACTTTTTAAAATAATGTCACATTTCGTCTTTACGTTAAACAAAGTTTTAAATAATAAATTAGAATTTTATGTAGTCATGCAACATACGCTGGGTAAGTATCTTTGCACACGAACGCGTTTGCCCCATCTACTGACTTTTATTTTAAGTTTTGAGGTGTACGTGTTACAACTTGCATTAAGAGAAATGGAAAGTATACCGTTTTTAACTGCATTTTCTGACAAGTTGGGAGGTCCTTGTTTGCTAAAAATGGTAGTTATAATAAAAGCAGGCTTTCAACTAGTCGACACGAGCATTTTTCGCTCGAAAAGCTTCTCAAAATGCAAAAATATTTTTAAAAGTTTTTATGTAAGTGAAGTACAGGAAGAAATTGGGGAAAACGATCGTCGTTAAATTACGGGTAAAGTTTTGAAAGAAACACCGGGGGAGCACTGAGTACAAATAAAGATGAAAATGTTTATGAAGTAAAAACTGAGATAATTACGTAGCTGTATTTATAAATATTGTTAGTATAAAAGAAAATTTCGTAAGTGTAAATAAATTTCTATTTGTTTGTCACATTTGTTCAATTGTATTACATGCTAGTTTCATTTGATAATTATTTTAAAAATATTAATATTTTTGTCAATCGGTAGCTGCTTCGTTTTTCGAATCGAAAACAAGAGAGAACATGTTGGTTTAATTCTTTCAACCAAGCAACCAAATTTGACTTGTAGTCCGGATGGCATTATTATAAATAGTGGATGTTCTGAATTGTTAGATATAAAATAAAATATTCCTGTATAGCAGATTTTCAAAACAAAAAACGCCATTTATGTCAAATATTTAGTGTTTCAAAATAATAATATTGAACTAAATAAAAGTGACAAATACTGCACTCAAGTGCAAGTTTCTAAATGTATATTTTCGGTATTAACCAATGTCTTAATTACTGTCAACTTCTTTGCCTAATCTGGCAAAGATAATGTACGTATAATTGTCGAAAGGGCCGAAAACTTTTTAATCAATGTTATTCCTAAGATTGAATAGTTTTATTACAATTATTTTATTAAATTACCATCACCAAGGAAAGGAAGGAAAGAAAAGACGAGTAAATAATTGTCTAAATACAACTATCCAATAAAAAAATTTTGTTTTTATTAGAGGCTCTTTGGTATAAGCTAATACGCAAGCCATATACATAATTACATCAATATTGTCAAGCAATTCTACGTTTACGTGCAAAATTTTAAATATCCTTAAGCCCGTAATTTATTGTCCGCGTGAAGGGCAATGCTACCTCAAAACTGAAAAATATCTCCGCCAAGCGGCGCTAGCCCGAGTACATACCTAGCGTAAAAAAGAGTTTTATAAAGGGCGCACGTGTCCTATTTCGTTTTATATAATTTTTACTATTTCCAATTTTTGACTTTGGATTCCCAGGTTGCTGGTTGCTGACACACAAAATGGCAACAGCAGGAGTAGGGTTACTTGTAGCCAAAATTATGACCACATACAGGGTGAGTTTTTTTAAACCCCAAGTAGTGGGATCTTGGAAACTACAGCAGACACAACGAAGGTTAAATGGACAAAGAATTGCCGTTTTGAATGCTCTACTCGAAACCAATTTTATTTTTGTAAAATTTGACAGCTCTCAGGAGATATGTGATAAAAACTGACTCATGACAGATTATTAAATGAATCTTAGTTCCGTCAATATTAATGTTTTGACATATGACACAAACTTGACATTTTTTAATGACAACCATATTTGACTATACCTTTATTGAATAGATCATTTTATGACGATTTCAGCGATATATTACATCGTTAGGTTTTTTCGAAAATGAAGTGTCTGCTAATGATTTTTACTTTTTCAATTTAGTTGACTGAAGTTAGCCACGGAAAATAGTATAAGGCAGACAGAAATGTTTTCATAGTAACAAATAATAATGAGCTTCCATATTTATTTTGACAACTAACTTGAAATTGGTAATAATTTTATTTCATATTTCAAAAAAATATTATAGAAAACTTGTGGGGGTTGGTTCGTCACACGCGTTTAGACTGAAGAAAGACAGTTTACTAATAGAGAAGAATTAATTGCCGCTGTTAGAGTCGCATCGAATATTGAGCAGTCATTGAGAAGCAGAGAATGCATAAAACATATTAAAATAAGTATTAGGTTTAAATGTTGTGTTCTAGGTTAATTCTAAAATATGTAATCAAGTGGCACATTAAAAATTACAATATTTGGTTTACAAAAAAATCAATTGTAGAATACGTGTGTTAAACAAAATATTAAATAAATATTGTTAAAAAACTTCAATCAATTAAAATAAAAAATCAGTTTGATGTAGCTTACTAATGAAAATCTTTAGTAGATAATAAAAATTAGTCAAAATCATTAGGTGAAAGTAATCAAGTGTCGCGCACTGTATATGTATGTAAGCTTTTCCAGTTTTTTTTTTGACAGAATAAGAATTGTTATTTTTCCACTTTGCTATATCTAGATTTCTTTTTCCGTTATTTATGTTCATTATATAGCAAAATAATATCTAGTTATTGCGATTGTTATATCTACTTTTGCGAATGAGATTTGGAGTTGAATGAGATATTCAATTTTAAAAAACACCCTTTTAAAGTACGGTTCGGTGGTGCGATCGGCGAGTGCGACTCGGTGCTGTATTTGGCCGAAGTCGCAATCGATCGCAGCGTGGTTTCCATCCATTTTCTTTTACGTCAAAATTTGATAATTTTTTATTAGCTGCGACTCAAGCCGTCGCGTTTCTAGTCGCAACGCACGACCAAAACCGTTTATATGCAAAGTACTTTAAGACCACTCTGCAGCGCTTTTCAGTGCTTCTGAGCAGCGCGTTTTGAAGGAACATTGATTTACATGGAGCCATTCACACAGGCGCGACTAAGGCCCGGCCACCGATTTAGCAGCGCTTCTGTGTCGTTCAGTGGTTGACTAAATGGTGGCGTTCTCACGAGCCACTTAAGTCTGCTCAATGTTAACGTGCGCTTATCAGCAGCGTTTCTCAGTGGCGCTGCTCAGAAGCGCTCTTTGAAGGTACATTAATTTATATGGAGCTATTCACACGGGCGCGACCGAGGCCCGACCACCGATTTAGCAGCGCTTCTGTGGCGTTCTGTGGGTGACTGTGGCCAAGAAGCCCTTCAAAAAGAAGCGCCACTGATAGCGATACATTGGTTCAAATGCTGGCGTTCACACGATCCACTTCACTCTGCTTCAGGTTCACGTGAGCTTCTCAGCAGTGCCACCGAGAAGCGCTGCAGAGTGGTTTGGGTGAAAAGGCTCTTAAGGAGTAATTTGCGATTAGCCGCAAGACGCGAGTCGCAGTCGCAATCGCACCATCAAAACCGCACCTTTAATGGTACAATTTTAAGAAAAAAATTTTTTGCTCATAAACCGATAGAGTAGGGTAGAAAAATTTTTATTCTACAGGGTGTTCTATTTATAATAATAAGTTTGAGACTAGTTCAGGTATAACCAGAAGTCGCATAAGGTCACTGTTATTTCATTTGAAACAAACGGAATCCAGTCTCCGTAAATCCCATTATCTAAATTTACAGCATTCAAATCGCATTACTTCGAAATATATTCGAAACAGTTTAAGTATTATTGACTAATAAATATAAAGCAATAAACATTTAAAATTTACCTTTGTGGATTCTAATATGATTCTTCAGCTCCTCGCTTCGCATAAAACATTTTGAGCAAATGTAACAGCAAAATGGTTTTTCACCTGTATGAATTCGCATGTGCCTTTTTAGTTGAGTCGAACTTATACAGCCCCGTCCACATGAAGTACAGATGTAAGGCTTTTCTCCGCTAGAAATTGAACGAATTATCAAATGACAAAGAGTTTCAGTTTATATTTAATAAGTTCTGTAAAAATGTAGTTAATTCTCTAAGTCTTATTTTTAACCACGTAAGTGAAAGGAAAATATAATTATTTAAAAATCAGGTGCTTATTTATCGAAAAATTGCTAGGGCCCGTCAATTGTTGTTTTAAACTACGGTTTTTCTGAACGAATGCTTATTTATACACGGTGGCCCAAAAAACGTTATGATTCTCTACAAAATCCTAACATTTTTATATAGCATACCCTATGCTTATCTTTAACGGTTTTCAGGAAATTGGCGACATAGCCAGTAAGGGTTTTATGACGAGTTTCTCATATAAATGAGAAATTTTAACATAAACGCAATTAATTATGTTCAAAATGAGTTTGTACATACGCTGAGGTTCTAGTATAGTCCAACTTGGTTCATAAGTTAATAGCGCCCCATACACGAGCGAAATATCTGTCATATCTGATACGTGGCGAGTCAAATTCGAAGAAATATCGGTGCGATTAACTCACCGATAACCACGAGCCAGATACGACTCGATGCGAATTTCGTACAAAATAAATCTGCAGATCTGGACTTGCGGACCGAATTACGCCGTTAGTGGG